TGAAATGTTTTGTAGAACAGGTAACGATTGGCAACTTGAAGTAGCTGGAATGCCCCATTTGTTATGCTGAATTTTTCCATACATTGAGAGTCATTTAGCGTGATCAATGATTCAGGGAAATCTCACATTTTTTCCATATTTCTCTCAAACATCTAAAGTGGTTATTCAAAGACGCCCGTCAAATACTAAGGCTACTAATGGGTTCTAACTTACTTGTACAGCCAAAAAGTTCAACTCTCATTGAAATCCAACTATACCACGTTCTTGGATGGATCTTCACGTAAGCAGCACTGAATGTCTTCAAGAAGTGATGATATACTACAGAATGTCTGTCAGTGTTGCCTGAAAAAATCTATGATGGATAAACAACAAACTGCCGCTGTCAGTTTACTACAAAATGTAGAAATTGTGGTTTGGTTTTATTCTAAGTAAATAGACCATTTTCGTATTCTCGGTATTGGATTGGAACTAGCTTGTAATGGACGCTTATGTGGGGGAATATCATTAAAGAGAGATAAATGTCATTTGCATTTGAAAAGACTCCCCGCATTAGCCTCAGTTGCAAGCTAGTTCCAGTCTGATACCGAGAATTGTCTATTGACTTATATTTTCCTTTATTCCAAATTATGATAATGAACATGAAACAAACGTAATAAACAGACTTGAGCCATGACAAACATTTGATACCGTATATCGCAAACCAGACAGACAAAATTGCTTACAAAAGTTGTTTTGAAATACTGGAGAACATTGCATCATTCGTGCCTTTAGATTATGCCCATATATAGAATATATGAAATATTTAACAGCCTGTATTTTACTTTTCAAGTAGAAAACATGTTTAACTCACAATTTTAGTATTTTATCATCCATTGTAATTTAATATATTTTCCTTATATCGGTTTCGTCATCGTTTTTCTCATTTTTATTCTGTAAGAGCACTGAGATTTTTTAATGTAATGCGCTAGAAATAAATTATTATTATTATTAAACCAGAATCATAAAACTTAAAAATTTAATTTTTCACAAAACCTCTCAAACTTATTAATAATTCGTCAGGTTTGAACAAGGGAAATCATTTGGATATCTAATCTAAATTAGCATAGATTTTCACTATTATATTCCTCCGTTTTCTCCCTAGTTTTAGTTTCGATTGAAAAGATTTGTCAAACATGAAAAACCGTGTTTGACCACAATTCCAAACACTTCTAAGTTCGTCAAAAATACTCAGAATTACTCGTCCGTGTTTGGAAATGTGGTCAGACACGGTCTTTCGTGTTTGATATATTACATACTATTACAGATTTAACAGCACTCTCACCTTAATTCTTCTATTCTCTCTGTAAGGAACATAGCTTACACCATCTCGACTATACGTCACTATATAGGTCTTCACCCATTGGTTGGCATCCTGCCGGCCTTGGGTTGCTATTCCTTTAAAACGTGTTATGTAACCAAAATTAACCTTGAACCACTGCCTGTTATTTCTAGTCCGTGCACTCCATGACCACCGGTGGTTCAATCGACCATGCCATGGTGACAGGTGGTGGTTGTAGTAGGTAGAGGCTGTCAGAGCTCCTGGAGTGAGACGTTTGTCTTCTAAACCGAGAGGCATGTTGCAACGGTCTACATATAAAAGGAAACAGGATTGAGTCAGTGAATGCATGACATGCATGACATGGACAGGAAAAAAAAATTATGACTGAGGAAATTTATCCCCAAAAGCAAGGTCCAGAACCAACCAAAACATTATCAAACCCGGGACATGAATAATCAAAACATTTTCGCACCTTCAGCACATCCATAGAACTCCACTCTCATAGAGATGTGTCCATACCAACCCCAGGGTCGAACCTGAATAAACCGTGCCTTGATGGGGGGGTAGAATCTATGCTGTACCACTGTATTTTGGTCTCTGTTACCTGTGAAGTACTGAAAAGAAATAATACCCTGTTACGCATGACTGCAGTGGAAA